GTTTCCCATTTTTGATAAGTGAGAAAAATTTCGGAAAATGTAGGATTATATCTGAAACAATAAATCAAATGGTAGTACAGAAACTATTACTTAGTATTTGCAAATAATTATGAAAGTTTGGAACAACTTCTCCAAATGTTACTGCCTTTGGTTCCACTCCACTGGTGGGATTAGGAACATCAGTATATAGTGGTTCGTTACTGGTACAACCAATGGACTTAAACAATGTCTTGCTTTGAAGACTTTGAACCGTCTCTTACATCATCTTGTTTTTTTTTTTCAAATTTGCTTTAAGTCAAAACTTTGGAGGGCTCTGGACATACTTGCTTTCATTCAACTTTTAAAGTTCTCTATTTCATATGAATGTACACCCTTCTAAATTATTTTTCAAGAGCTAGGGCTTTGTTTTGCTGGATAACTTTTTGAAAATCATATTGGACAGAACAAAGTGAGGCTTGTGTTGTCTGTTTTCATAGCTAAATGGAGTGTAGCATAAAATGATTTTATTTTATAAAATGTTAGATGAAAATGATGAAGTATTCCAATACAGTGGAGTAACATGGGCAGTTTAATTTAGAAATTAAAATTAGTTGCTGGTGCTGATGACATCAGACTAGCAAACATTTAAATATTATTATATACATAGAAATTATTATTCCTTAAGTACAAATTTAAAATGTGGCAGTCCCAAGAAATTCTCTTTATACATTATATAAACTAGAAACACATAGTTGTTTGTCACTGGATAGAATTTGTATTCAGCATTTTGTCATCCTTACATGTAATCAATGGGCTGTAGCTGCTTGCATTTTAAGCAAATACTTGCATACAAATTTCATTAAGTGCATAATAGTATGGTATTGATAGCGAAGTTCATAATACAGTCCCACTGTTAGTTATCCTTCTATGCAGTACGTTTGACATGCATTTTCTGAGCTTGTACATGCAACTTTGAAGAAAAATAGCAGAACAGTTGTCAGATTTTTCATGGAAGTGGTTGCCGTGTATATTTCCTCTGTTCTGAATAAGGATAATATTTTGTGATGGAAGATTATCATTCCTGTGTTTTGGATAATTTATACTTATCTAAAATTTAATGTAATTGCTTATATTTGCCTGGTTTTATGTAGTAACTGAGCTATTCATTGAGTCCGATTTATCTAGCTTTTACATTTATTTTAATTATTCAAATAATAGAAATAATTTCACTGTGTAATTATTTTCTTTAAAATATGCTTTGCTTAGGTAGATAATGTGAACTATAACTAGCAGAAGAGTCTTTCTAGCCAGCATGATGGGTTCACGAGCCAGAAATAATGCTATTGCCTGTTAGCTCAGAAAGTGAGATTACGAAGATGGTTGTGTTAAACATTTTTGCTTTTAGGATTAAAAATGCATCAGAGTTTTAATGTTTGAAAGCTGTGTTTCGGAGCTGTCTTTTGAAATCATTATTAACTTCAGGAAAACTCCCCAAACCTCCCAAAACAGATTTCTTCTTGGAAAAACTTTTTAGCCCATTAGAGATTATAGGTTCATATTCAGTAAATAAATTTAACACCTGGTGCTTTTTTAACTGATGATTTCTTTCATTATTAACCCACTGAATAATGGCTTCTTTTGCTAATATTTCCTATAGCAGGGAAATTGCTTTGACTGTTAACAATCTGTACTGTAAATCCATCTGAATTGGGAAGCAGCTCCTCTAATTTCCTTAGCTAAGCAGTTACAGAGTAGTTCCAGGCACTACAGGCCTTCCCAGCTTGTAATGGTGCTCTTAGAGGAAGGAGGACACATGTGCGGGAACTCTGCAGCTTCAGGGCCCAATAACCTCCCCCAGGCTACTTGGGGTTATAGTAGGGAAACAGCTTACACCAATTACCTCGTTTTTCCTTCCGTCCTTCCTTCTCCAAGCTGCTATATTTAGGCTCTGAAAGGTTTTCTTAAACAGGGGAAGGGTTGTAGTCTCTGATATGTACCATGTTTCTGAGGCAAAATGTCATAATTTTGTTTTTCTGTTTAATCATATGGTAAGTTATCTGTCAGTGCAGGTAGATGTTAAACCAGAAACAACGTTTTCATTCTAAATCATTTAATGCAACCCCATTACCTGCAAAATTACGTTCTTTTGAAATGTCTATCCTAGCGCAAATTTTCGACTATTTGGTGTATTTTAAGTCTTTCCTCCTCTGAAACAGAGTTTCCTCTTGGCTGCCGGCGTAGGGGCTGTGCCCACAGCCGCGCTGAGCTCTCCTCCCTCAGCCTGGCCCTGGAGCCCTGCCGG